GTATCAGTAAAATTTCAATTTTAATTAATTAACTAATAATTTCCGAATTCACACTTATGCATTAAGAAAAAACCAATAGATTGAGTGAAGAAATATTATACTATTATATCTTTTAATTCCTAGAGGAACATAGGGCTTCAGCTGTGCGTCTCCACTGCCTTCGGTACTCTGCCAACTTTTTCACCCCGCTCCAAGTCTGTCCACATGCTTTCATCTCCTCCTCGCATGACCTCCTCCAAGTCACCCTCACACTGACGACCAACTCGCCGCTTCCCTTTCGGGTTCCCCTCGACCGATGGCTTGTCACTTGATGGTTTCCTCAGGGAATGACCAATCCATCCCCATTTCTTCCCGCCTATTAGTTACACAATCGGTTCCTGCTGGGGTGGTTCACTCTCATAGGTCCCTGTTGCTGATCTTTTCTGGCCATCTGGTCTTGAGTAGTTGTGAGCGAAGACAGCTGTTAATGAAGGTGTGTAGTTTGTTTGAGAAGCTCTTTATGACGCGCTAAGTCTCTGATCCGTATAGTAGCACTGACTGTCTTCACATTGGAGTTGTAAGTCCGGATATTATTTTTGATGCAGAGTGGGGCTGTTGACCTCCACACAGACTTAAGAGTAATGAAAGCTTGTCTTGCTTTTCCGATTCTGACTTTGATATCCTCGTCAGTTCTATTCGCCTGTAGTTGAAACGATGCTTCCGAGGTCGGTTGGTGAAGGAGGTTGTTTCTTTCAGGTTCCTCCCATTTATGCCGGCTGATTGTTGTCTGTTGTTGTTGTTGTGAAGAAATATGCATTCCTTTTCAATTAGTTCCTCATAATCGGCACCTTAGCAATATGTAGTATTTTATATCAAAATTCTACCAACCAAATGGTTATTTTGGCTAATCAGCTTTAGGTATAAACAAAAAGAGAGCTTAAGACATTAAAAGTCATCAAAACAATTGTAACTAATAGATGTTACTAACAAGATATATCAGTTTTGAAGAAGGTGGGGTGAAAATTAATTACGCAATTCAAGACCATTTAATTAGTCAGGGTTAGCAACAATTTATCACATAGTCGAGAAATTTGTGTAACAGCAATGATGACTAAGAAGGATAGAATAACTCAGAAGAATTAGGTTAGATTACAAAAAAAACCAAGTTAATAGAAATAGCTAGAATTGTAAAAATTAACAAAGTCAAAAGATGGTTACAAGGGGAGGAGAAAAAATCGTTTTTTAAAAACTTAATACATATTATGTAGTTGGCCATAGCAAAAAAAGGGGGCTGTACAGATTTCTTCTGAACACACTTACACACACAGACTGGACTATTTCAAATGAATTCTGATTGCTTCTGCTGTGTGTTTTTAGAAGTTATGCTCGTAGTCCATGCAAGAGGTTGGGTGATATACGACAAATAACTTTAAAAGCTTTGTTTAAGTCGACTTGATGTCTAGTATCAACGACATGAGCGATTATTGAGCTGCGAATAGCAGCTTTATTCGGACCTTTGTCAGACCAGGATGAGAAGTGTTCAGAAATCTGACAGTGAACTTGTCTGATTTTATACTCAATGTAACTACCTCCACATGGGCATTTAATATGGGAAATACACACAAACAGGGCAGTCTGTCTTTATTTCTTGAAGTAGGTGTTGGTTGGCTAGAGAATGCACAGCATAGCCTAGCTGCGTTGAAAGTCCCTTCGAAGGTCCTACTCAGACGTTGTGGTAAGATCTCACTATTGACATCACACGTGAATTATAACCTTAGGAAGTCTGAGTTTTTGGAGAAACAGTCGGCACCTTCAGCTATCTACTTTGTGAGTTCACGTGTTTGTTTACGAATTCAGTTGGATATTCGTTTCTACTTAGTAGATCAAGAATATTACCGAGTCCTTTGTTCAGTGTCTCATTTAAACAGACAACTCTAGCATAGTGAACCAGACATCTAACCAGATTATGTTTGTATTGTAGAGGTACGAAGCTGAGGAAGTGAGTGTATTGTCCAGTGGAAGTAGGTTTTCTCTACAAACGTCTACATATTGTTCCGTCAGTTCGTTTAGTCATTAGGACGTTTTAAAGGGAGATGAAATCGTTTTCTTCCTCTTCTTTAGTGAAGCCTTTGCCAGAATGTGCTCTATTGAATTTATCCATCACATCCTCAGCCTGACATCCTTTCCTTACAACCATAAATGTGACACCGACATATTAGCAATAGAAATCAAGATTATAATTTAACATCTCTAAGAGGAGCATTCTCTAGTTTCACCAGAAAAAAATCTGCTAGGATTGGGCCTATTAGTGAATCCATGAAAACACCATCTGATTGTCTATACATTTCTTTATTGAACAGAAAGTTTAGCTGAAAAGGAATATTCATGGATAATTCCCATCCAGGCATTAATGGAAACAAAACACGTAGTTCAGCGAAGAGTCTCTTTTCGGTGACGAATTCCTTTTCTTAGCTGTATATATATATATATATATATATATATATATATATATATATATATATGGGTTATTTTGTATGTATGTGAACATTAAGTTTGTCAAACAGAAATACAATTGGTTATGGTTATTTTAACTAAACAGGTGAAGATTGTTAATACAAGTCAAGAAAATTAGATGTTCATGAAATTAGGGTAGTAACAAAGGTGATGAGTTGTCACAAACAGTTGTTAAAAAAGTAGTTACGTAATAATATGAATAGTCCGTTGTTTGAGTTTTACTCAGGATACACATAGGAACAAAGAAGAGAATACGAAATTACAAAAGAGTTCTAAATGAATACAAGAATTATGAGCAGTTAAAGGCAAATAAACAATTTTAAGTCATCAAAATCAAAAACGTTGTTACCATGACAGTAGAAGTGACTGAGTAATTCTCTTTTGTATGAACAGCTCCGGTTTTTCTTTGTGAATGGCCAGAGCTTCAGCGATACAAAGAAGACGAAACCGTATTGCCTTTAGTAGGTTACTGTTGACTCTGTAGATTACTTTGAAGCAGGAGGCGTTTGTTGATGAGATGGAATGATCAGTGTTAACCAGGTGATTTTTTTTTCGATGACTTAATTTTGTTTCTTTGCCTGTTGCTTTAATTGCTTATAATTCTTGAATCCACTCAGAACTCTTACGTAATTTCATATTCTCTAATTTGTTCCTATGTGTATCCTGAGTAAAACTCAATCATCAAACTATTCATGTTATTACATAACTTCTTTTTAACAACTGTTTATGATAACTCATCACCTTTGTTAATACCCTAATTTCATTAACACCTAATTTTCTTGACTTGTATTACCAATCTTCACCTGTTTAGTTAAAATAACCATAACCAATTGTAATTAAACAGCATAAATTCTCCAAGCATACCTTGCAGTATAAACGTCCCCTAGTGAAATGTTTTTTCTCAAGGGCCCGAAAAATATGCACGAGTGACACATTGATGGACGAGTTTCGAAATATACATTCAGTTTCATTAGCTAATGGTCATCCGGAGAACTTTATCACTTGTCGCAGTAAAGAAAGACCACATCTCGAAAAGACAGCTTCTGTACCAAAGAAAGCTGTCTTTATTAACCTATCATTCAAGGGCGACCAGATTATGCAGTTGGCAGCTAGCTCAAAGACTTCGGTCAGTCACCAAACGCACATTCTACACGACAACTCTTTTTCTCATATGCCAATCCCTGTACCTACGATTAAAGGACGAAAGTCTGTGGACTCTACTTCAGACTGTATCTACATCTATATGGGTAAAACCAACAAAATGTTTCAATGTCATCGAAAAGAACATATTCCAAAATGACTCCTAAATCATATCGAAAATCCCAACGCGATTAATCTGGATAGAAATCCAGCATCATCCATTGCAAAACACTTATTAATGTCAGGTCACAAAATCAATATTAATGACTGTTTCACAAGAAGAATGGTTAGCCACAAAATTTCAGCAAAACGTGTTTCAAATCGAATCACAACACCAACAATGAACCATCATCAAAGAACACAAGAAAATTCATACTACCATACATGAAAAGTATCTCTGAAATAACAGCTGGAGTACTGAAACCGTTTGATATAGATAGATATAGCACACAAGTCAGTCAAATCGCTCAATTCGATATTATGCAAATCGAAAGACACATCCAACAGAAAAAGGAGATAAAATTAATACCATTTACAAAATAAATTGCCTGTATGAACTGTAACAGGCATTATATCGGCCAGAATGGGCGTCCCCTTCGAATCTGAATCTAAGAACACAAATCAGCCTTGAAAACACACGATATATATTCCTATTTCATATCAATGCATATAGACAATTATGAACATCATTTTGATGACTGGGATAATGTCGAAATCTTGAAACACCACAAGTGCAGTCAGGGAATTCTTAGAAGCGTGGTACTCAAACGAATATGCAATTAACAAACACGTTGATATAGACGAAATATACCAACTAATAAAAAGCAAAAAATTATATGACCGGAAAGCTTAAAATCCAAGTCAATAGAAAATGATCAATGCATATGTGAAGATGGTCGGTCACCAGGAGAAGCAGTTATATCACTCATGAAGAAAATTTGAAGACTTTCACTTTATGCTAAATATTGCGCTGAAGGGAGGGTTGTTATCCAGAAGGGGGACGACGAAATCTCTGCAACTAAATCAACCAACTCAGAAAAAACTATTAATTGCAAAAGGGATTAACTGTTTTTAATGAAATGAATTAATAATTATTAACTATAACTATGTGCGTCGGTGGCATAGCGGTTAGCACGCTCGCCGACCATGCACATGGTCCGGGGATCGATTCCCGGCCGGCGCACTCCTTTACCTCGCTAAGCCAGGAATAATCCTGGTAAAGAGGAAAGGTTGGGCATGAGGCTAGCAACCTCATCCTGTAAAATAAACACTGCTACAGAAACTTCAAGCCACTAGCTTGAAGCCCTATGTTCCACAGGGGAACGTGAAGGAAAAATTATTTATTATTATTATTAACTATAACTTACATAAAATCTGACGTCTCAATGTACTGATGAGTATTATTATTTTTGCATTTTGTCGTAGACTTAGTTGACTGATCTTCATGGAATGATTTGATTGAAATATCTAAGAATTTAATAGTTCGCTGTTGAGCACTCCCTTCACAATGAGCTAACCAAGGATTTTTATTATCTGCATGTATCACTCGCCTTTTGCACAATGGACTGTTCGGATGTCTATAATAAAATTAGGAAAAATACTGTATATTAACGCCGAATACATGATTTCTCTAATTTATAAGGAGGAAAAATTATTGTTCAAGAAATAGAAAAGTATAAAGTTTAATAAAATTGAATATTTTAATTTTATATAGTTTGGTTTGTAAGGGTTAGTTATGTTTTTACGAGTTGATCATGGATTGATATCAATAAGAGAACCATTGAGAACCAGGGAGCACTGGACAGCTGCTGTTTTATCCTAGTTTGGGAATCATCCGCAGTACGCACCTACCACCAGGGTTCGAACCCAGGACCTTCTAGTTACAAGGCCAGCGAGCTCGTATACCATTCAGCCACTGGGACCCGATTCGATGGCTTATGAATTCTAACTTCTACCAATTCGTGATTTAGCGCGACCCCAACCATTGTCGTTGGTGGGACATCCATCCACACATGTAACATCTAGTTGGACTTCACTGGTCACGACTCCTCACTAGAACTCAGGAAACTCCAACCTATAGTAAGTCACTAGTGAGCATCGGATGGATTTTCTATAGTTTGGTTTGTAAGGGTTAGTTATGTTTTTACGAGTTGATGACGGAGTGATATCAGTTAGAGAACCATTGAAAATTGAATTGGTAGAAGTTAGAATTCATCATCTGGCCATTAAATCGAGTCCGAGTGGCTGAATGGTATACGAACTTGCTGGCCTTGTAACCGGAAGGTCCTAGGTTCAAACCCTGGTGGTAGGTGCGTACTGGCGATGATTTCCAAACTAGGATAAAACAGCAGTTGTCCAGTACTCCCAACTGGTTTTCAATGGTTCTCTAACTGATATCAATCTGTAGTCAAACTCGAAAACCGAATCAACCATTGAAAATTAATCCGATACTCGCCACAGGATGGAGTTTCATGGAGCTCTGGTGAGAAGACGTGACCGGTGAAGTCCATCCTGTCGAGGGTGAGGATGGAGTTCCAGCCGATGAAATTGGTTGGTGGTTACGTCAAGTGCGTCACCGATTGGTAGAAGTCAAACTTCATACTCTTGCTACTGAATCGAGCCCCAGTGACTGAATGGTATGCAAGCCAGCTTGCCTTGTAACCGGAAGAACCTGGATTCGGACCCCAGTGGGTGTGTACTGCTGATGGTTCCTAGTTTTCAATGGTTCTCTAACTGATATCAATTCGTGGTCTAGCCTAAAACAAACAGAATCCCTACAAACTGATTCTTTAAAAGTGGAAAAATTGTTTGGAAAATCCCCTCTCAACGATCCAGTTACAGTATTGACACTTATATGGACTTTTAGACTTACTGTGTAATTATTATGCCTTTTTCTGCTATACTGTACATGTCACAGTTCTGACATTTGCATATCATATGTCACCTTCATCATTATTATTATATGCCTTTGTTCTCCTCTTGAATCACTAATTTTAAAGCTCGTATTTGTGATTGTGCACACGTACTGTGCACACTGACAATGTGTTGTTTTACGATGTGAATCAGTTTGAATGAAACAAAGTGATTCTGATACTGGACTGTCTGGAGGAATTGTTGGTGTGTGGTTCTTATTGACAGAGGCTTAGATTCAACCTTGTCGGGAATATTCTACTTAACTCTCAGGTACTTCTTACGGTTACATTTCGGTCAACTAAAGTTTTGTTCTACAGTAATTGTTTTACTCAAGAAACTCATCTGCTCCGTATGGCTGCCTAACAGCTTTGTTGAGTTAATTTTCAGTTTTTGATGTTACCCTTGTTAAACAGTACCTTAGATTTCATTCGCAAATAACTGTCGTGACTAGTAGGGTGCAGCAGGTCGGGTGTGAAGAGAAATACTCGCCGAAAACGACATTGGCTAGTGGTCGTGCTATATTGTCAGTTGGCAGAAATTGGAATTCATGGACTGGCCATTGGATCGGGTCCCAATGGCTTAATGGTCTGCTAGCTCACTAGCCTTGTAACCAGAAGGTCATGGGTTTGAACCCTGACAGTGGGTGTATACTGATGAAAAACACAAACTAGACTGTTCAGTACTTCCAAGTTATCCCACTGGTTCTCTAACTGATGTCAGCTCATGATGAAATCTCTTAGCCAATCAGTCAAATCACCACAAACCCATACTTGAATAACTGTCTTCATGCCATCATTATGTCATTTTGTGACTGTGCACAACTTAAGAAAGTTAAGGCTAGCTGTACAGTAGAACAAGTAGGTGTTCATCGCTACACTGCTGAAGTCCTATGTTACACTCAAGACCGAAGGGACTAAAACTTTTTTATTTTTTTATTTTTTTTTTGTTATAGCTTGACTCCACACCGTATTATTGGTAGAAGTATGGAATTTATAGCATGTGATATCGGTAGCCCGAATTTTGCAGTCCGAATAACTGATATCAGGTGTGTGTGTCGGCTGGGGACTGAACCCTGAACCATGCACATTGTCGGCGAGAGTCCTAATCTCTGTGCCACTGACGCACGCATAAATATTTGCTTTTCAGACTCTTAAATGATCTATTTAAGCTCACTGGGTGAGCTAGTCTCGTCTAGGATCTGTCTCATAGTTGATAAAGTCTCTAAGAGGAAAGATACCAACCAGACACTTATGGATACAATTTGTAAGACTACTCTGTTATAAGATTAACGCTGACTATGTTGTCCAGGATGACAGTGAAACTTCCGCCAATTCACACGATTACTGTAACCAAAGCCTTGTCGTTTCAATACTATATCATAGTCAAAATAAGACGACTAAATCATTTAAAGAATAATTTCAAATGTTTTTTTAAATAAACGAAACCATGTTATTCACAATTAATATAATAATAATAATAAAACGTTAAAAAGGTTATTCCTCTTTTAAGTGTAGAAAATGAGATCTCATTTCTGTAAACAGTTGGTTTAACAATTAAAGATGTATTTCAGCTGAAAACTCTGTAAAGACCTGATTTATTTCATAATCAAATTCCCCACAAACCTATATAATAATTTAAAACCAAGAAGCTATCTTGACTAGTATGAATCCGCATAGTTGTTGCATAATCTGACTGTTTTTGAGGGTTAGACCCTCTGCAGAGTTTTTATGACAATCTCCTAAATGACTAAAAGCCTGGCAAGATAAGCTATTTGTTAAACTCTGGATTTTAAGTCTTGTTTAGGCTAAATTATTCCCTACATTCTGAGTGGAATGTTGTGACCCAAACTGATTAACTGTGGTCTGGATGCAGGGAATGAGTCAATGTGTCCTACTTTATAACTGTACTAAACTTCCCTCAGAGACACACAATCACAAAACGCTACTAAGACAGTAAAATAACGATTATTCTTCTATGGATCTTGATTCATTCGAACAAAATCATATCGTAAAGAACAACACTTCGTAAATATCATCACACAACTACAAAAAGAAGTATTAAAATTAGAGATTAAACAGTAACAAAAACAAACAATTAGGATGAATCAACATATGATATAAATAAAAGTTAGGGGAAAAAAGAAAAATAATTACAAAGTAAATCCAAATGTCCATATATTGCAAGTGGGTCGTTCAGTGTGGATTTTTAAAACACTTATTCCGTTACATGAAATATAGGGGCTCCAAAGTTGAGCTTTGAAGATTCAGTATCGACGGATGAATGTACTAGCTCAACGCTCATCCTCCTATCATTTCTGGGATCATTACCATCTCGTAAACTAAGCAAGGAGTTGAAAGGTCAGGAATCAAATCCAGGCCACCAGCGCGGATGGTAAGCATTCTACCACTGAATCACCAGCGTTACCCAACGCATTGGTTGATTAGCTAACGGGATGGTTTCATATCTCGATGGTCCGAGGATCGGACACTGCTGGAATTGTCGATACGTACTGTTGAAAACTCCCAAACTAGGACGAAACAACACGTTGATAAAATTTAAGTTATTTGTTCAATCTACTCATTAGTAGTCACACTTTTATATATGTAAAAAAAGTAATGTCGAGAGCGAGTTAATAACTCAATAATTTATTTATAACTTATTTATTTTATTTTTATTTATTTATCTTTGATTTTTAAAAATCTTATATAATTTATGAGGTAATTAGATGCAATATACTGTAATGCACGCTGAAAATTCCATACCTGTACCACAAATACCGTTTGGAATAAAGCTGTTATTATTATTATGTATTTTTGTCTCCGATCCAATAGGTCCCATAAATTTCAAAAAACTCCGCATTAATATTTAACATAAGTACTTAAACTAATAACTAAATACCATGTTCTCATAGCTGAATCCACAGTCATATTGCAACAAAGACTACTGCACCAAGCTTTAGACTAAAATACTTTCTTTAATTAAATTCGGACTTTGCCATTCATCGACTGGACAGAAGTGTTCGGCATCAGGTTGACATGTCAGCTTCTTCTCCAGATGCTTCGAAGGTGTCTGATTATTTAACTTCAAGCAAACTGGTAGATGGTGACTAGCAGTGGATGCATAGTATGCACACTTCGCTCCATTTGGAACTCCTCATCAGCTGAATGAATATGCATTCCCCAGTGAGTGATGGTGTCCCCACTGAGAATCAAATCTTCAGGTGCGTCCAGATGATGAATCCCGAATGGGATGAAATGCGAATCCTGAATCTCACTGCCAGTCACCATCCATCAGTTTAAAACACTTTCCGTTGAACAGAATGAACCTAAAAAGAAAGGAGTAGTAGCATACCACTCGCTACCAACCAGTGGTGCTTGCTAGCCAGATCTAGACGAACCAAACACCAGACGACCGTTTGGCTTCCTTTGGGGTCTACATGATTATCCGTGGTGTATTCGGCGTATGGACTCAACCCACAGAGACAAGTCTATTCAGAACACATAACTACACTCTTAAATGTATGCCAATCTATCTTCCACTGTCACTGGACAATAAATTAAACAATGGTGGCTTATACTTAGTACTGCAATCATTTATTTTTGTGATGAGAATTGACAACCACATCAGATGGCTAGCCTCTCTTACCCAGTATGATAGCAATAACTTTCTTGCTATTCACAGAATGATACCAATCAATGTTAATCATGTTGCATAGGTAAAAAAGCAATCATAAGTGTGGGACACTAAGCATTACCCGTATCTTTCAGCGGTTATGTCTGATACATATATATGAAGTTAGAGACAGTATACTGTAGGCTTATGCAGTACTTGAGCAAAATGGACAACCTGTTATTTGTATTTCAAGACGTCTAAGTAAGAGTGAACAAGTGTACTCACAAACCCAGAAAGAAGCTCGAGCAGTTGTATGGGCAATAAGACGCTTGCACAAGTATCTCTTTGGTACTAAGTTTCACATAGTTACTGATCACCAGGCTTTGAAATTCATTTAAAATCCAGAAGAATCTTTGAATAAATCATCTGCTGCTATAGTTCAAAGATGAAGCTCAGAACTAAGTGCATATGATTACACTATTGAACACAGATCGGCAAAGGATATACCTCATGCAGATTTCTTATCTCGTTATTCATTATTTGAAAATGCTGCTAATGATACTGATTGCTTATTAGTCCAGCCGTTACCGGTGGATCGAGTTCGACTTATAAATGATACTCGGAAATATTACGGATACGTTATAAATGCAACAAAAAGAGGTTGGAATGTTCAGTGTAAGCGAAGATTTCCAGACTTTTATAAGCGAAGAGATGAGATTTCAATCCATCCTGAAGGAATGCAGTGTCTGGATGACAGAATTATTATTCCTCCAACATTAGGATCTGCGATTCTGGATGATCTACATTCTGCTTATCTAGGAGCTGACAAGATGAAATCATTAGCACGCCTAACATGCTGGTGGCCGGAAATTGATGCTGACATTAACAAAAGATCAAAGAGCTGTTCTAGCTGTTTACATAAAATGTCCTATGGGAAGTCATCGTGGAAACCGTGGCCTGCATCTTGTGAGGTTTGGCAGCGTATTCATGCAGATTACTGTGGTCCATTCTTAAATTTATACTATGCTTTAATTATTGTGCATTCTTATTCTAGATGGCCAGAAGTTATCATTGCAGATAGTCCCAATGCAAAATTCACTCACAGAGCGTTGAGAAAGATTTTTAGCCGAGAAGGAATTCCAGATGTCTTAGTTACTGACAATGGTACTCATTTTACGGAGAAGAACTTCAATGATTGGCTCAAACATATAGGTTGTCGTCCTTTGTACACAGCACCACGTCATCCTCAGTCAAACGGGTTGGCAGAAAATTTTGTACGAACATTAAAGAGTGCTATAGCATCAATGAGTCCTAAGAATTTTGATTAGCTAGAGAGATGTTTGGATAACTTCTTACTTCAATATCGCAATTCGGAGCATACAAGTACTCATGAAAGTCCTGCTAAACTATTCAAATCTCGAATTCTCAGAAAGCATCTGATGTCCACGACTTCTGATGTACATGATTACAGAGGGAATGACTATAGACCTTCTGCTGAAATCAGACTACAAAGAATGGGAAATCGAATGGTGAAGATATTAGACATCGAAGATCATTCAGTTCATAACAGACACCTAAATCAAGTGAGAATAAATGAAGTAGGTCGTTCCGATTATATTTTTAATGGTTCCGCTACTAATCCTGATTTTGTAGAAAATTCAGAAATAAGTCAAGATGATACCGATGAAAATAATATCACAGAATCAGTTAGAAGGTCGCAGAGACTGGCAAGCAAGCCGCGACATCATTATAAATAGGCAAGGAGACATTCGACTTGTGGTGGATATGGTGATTGACAATTTCTATCTCTGTATTGTTTAAATACTTACTGTTGACTGTTGATATGTTTCTTATATAAATTGAATAATAATTCCGCCAAATACAAATTCCTGAATTCATCCCTCTCTGTGTTTTGGTTGAATTCTTGTAATTCTGTCATCATGCAATACTAATACTACTATTACAAAAAATTACAACAGCTTAGTAGGCTTTTCTTTATCTCATACGGGTAAAAGGTGACTTAAAAACACAAAATTTGAAGGAGCACTTCATATCTTTATGTAATTTAGGCCACACCATTCAAAGAATAATACCAATATTATTATTACTCCCTTGGATTCCAAATGGGACATAGGGTTTCAGCGGCACGTCTCCATTTTATCCTCTTCTTTGCAGACGTCTTCAAATGATGCCACAGTTGCTTAAGAGCTTCCATCTCGTCAACTTCTATTCGCGTTCCACTCGAGCTATGGCCTGGAGCTAGATGTCAGCCGATGGTCTCCTCAACGTTCAACCAATCCATCCCCATTTTCTTCGGAATAGTTGTCCAGCGATCAATTCTCAACTAGTTTGTCTCTAGATTTTTTTCGTAACAATTCTTTATGGCTGTGTATTTGATCTCCATTATGGAGCCAGCAAAAGCAGATGCCGATAAAAGTCTGTAGTAGCCTCTTGGAAATGCCTTTCTTGAGGGAGGGGGTCGAGTTTCTGAACTTTACAGAAGCACTTACTGACTTAACATTAGCATTGAAAAACCGAATTTTCTCGTTTAATGCCGAGTTTAGAGGATTTCCAAATTGATTTCAGACTGATTAAGGTCTATCTAGCCTTTCCGATTCCGTTTAGCTTTGATATCGTCATCCGTGCTACTGCCTGTAGTCGAAACGATGCTGCCTAGATCAGTGAAGGAAGTGACCTTTTTCAAATTGCCTTGTAATTTACACTTCACCAATAAAAAGTGTAACATATGAATTTAGGCAACTGAATTTATATAAAGAGAAGGCAGTCTTTCACTTGACGTATGCACTGATTAACAAATGAAAACAATAACCTGAAAGAAAGAATGAGAATTTATAAAAAAAACTGAGAGAGACAGAGGTGCTAAAGTGAGCTATGGAAAATAAAGTGAAATAAAATATACCTTCATCTATAGAATAATAAGCCTTCTAAAGAGTTGGATAAAATAAGCAATAATTGCAGCTATGCACGTGCGTCTGTGGCTCCGCAGTAGGATATTCACCAACCACACACTTGGTCTGGGGTTCGAGTCCTGACCGATGCATACCTTTACCTCCCTGAGCCAGCTGTAAGCCCAACAAAGATAGGGAAGATCGGACTTGTGAAGTTAGCAACTTCACCCTGTAAAAAATAATCACCATTACTACTGAAATTTCAAACCTCAAGCCTGAAACTCTATGTTCTACTTCGGAAGCAAAGGAATAAAATAAGAAAATTAAAAAAGCAGCTAAATACATTACTGTAAAACATTTAAATCATATCATCTATGAAAGTACGTTGGTAGCACAGTGATTAGGATGCTCACCAAGACTGTACATGATGCGGGATTCGATCCCCGGCCACTGAAGCACTCCTTTACCTCGCTAAGCCAGCAATAAAGCTGGGAAAGGGGAAAGGTTGGGCATGAGGCTAGCAACCCCATCCTGTAAAAATAAATACTGCTACAGAAACTCCAAGCCTCTAGCTTGAAGGCGCCCTATGTTTCACTGGGAACGTGAAGGAAAAGAAAAAATCATCTATGAAATGTTACTGATAAATCTGTTAAACACCAGCACAAACTGCAATCAAACACATCCAGTGATCAATAAAAAGTAATTAATCCAATGCTGTCAAGTCCTTGATACTCTCCGAAATCTGGCAGTCAGCTTTGAAATGTAATCACTCACATAAAGACTTCCTACTTAAGGTCTTCTAAATGATGTTGGTCACCTGAACGCTATTAGTAGAAAACCCTAGACCCATATTTTCTGTTTGGTTCACAGTCTCTATAATGAATCTCCTAGTCAGATAACAGTAATGTAAGCATTGTAACAATAAAAGACACGGGCCAGGCAACAGATCGTTTATTAAGGAAATCAACACATATTTACACATTTTCATGTACATTATCATAGATTATTGTTAGCAGAAAAACACAGTCTTCTGATTGGTTGTTTCTCACTGAAAGTTGACCTTGCATCTCTCTGTGACTGTTTCTTGAATGTCAGATCATCTATATGCTAACTGTATCCGCCTACGTAAAGTCTGCCGTGGTTGATTGTTGAATCAGTCTTTGTTCTTATTTTTCACACGACCAATATTGGGGACGTAAACCTTGACGTAAATTACTGTCCCCCAATTACGACTAACAGCCAGCTCTCACCACACCATGACAAACAAAATTTGGTTATAGGAATTCATCATGAGCTGACATTGGTTAGAAAACCATTGGAAAACCTGGGAGTGCCAGACAGCCAGCTGTTTTGTCCTAGTTTGGGACTCTTAACAGTACGCACCCACCGATATGGTTCGAACACAGGATATACCGCTTACAAAGCTAGCAAGCTCGTAGACCATTAAACTACTGGGACCCAATCCAATTGCCAGTCCATGAATTCTAACTTCTGCCAATTCACAACAAAGCGCGACAACTAGCCAATTTCATCAGTGGTAAGTATTTGCTGAACCCTACTGGTCACGACTTCCCACTAGAACCCCGGGTAACCACCTACCTGAATAGGGCAAGTCGCTGGTGAGCATCTCATCGATATTCAAGTATTGGTTCGCAGGGATTTTGATTGATGTCAGCTCATGACGAAATCCTGTAAACAATCTATCAAATCCCTACAAACCAAACAAAGTCTGGTCAACACTGAGCACTACTCAGTATGACATCCATTGCTACCTGGTGAACAATCGATGTATCTACCACAGTCATACATATATATATGAATAAATGTAGACCAAAAGCTTCACTGGTAACACTTTTGACTGTAGGATTTAGTGGTGCCCGAAGGGAAATCGATATCACTAGGTTTGCGAATACACTATCCCCATGGCTTCCTGTCGATTGTTTTCAATCATTCAGTTTGAAAACCAGTTGACTATGATAAATTTTATAGCTTCATTTTCACTGAATCAGGTAGACCACTCTAGGGGGAATAAAATCAGACAGTCATCTCTTCTCTTCTTAAACATTAAAATCCAATTATACTAAACAGACAGTATTCTTACCTTTCTAATAACACATAAATGCTAAATGGTCCACAGTAAATATTCCTTTCACGCATTAAAACATAACGTATTTTGATTTTAGAATATGCTTGACGTATTTTACTCGATACTGACTCCCATGATTTTTGTATTAAACTATCCCATTCATGTAATTCGTTAGGCTACAAAATGTGAAAATAAACAAGAAATATTCTTTAGTTAAGAATAACAGTAGTATTAATGGCAGTTTTCTGATCAGCTGACTGACCAATACTTAGCAGGAAGATAGAAGTTTTTGCAGAATATCTTGGTTATATCACTAATGTACACGTTTTAACTTCATATACAGACCCTATCATTATTAGTGAACATAGAATGAGCAACATGTAGGGTGTTTTTTTATTCGAAATGCGCTCCATTTCGGCAGGAGGCAACAATGGTGGCTTTGACTTAGTCGTACTCTGTTTGGCAGAACACTGGAGAAAGATCATTAGAAGTATTAGTGCCGATTCTGCGACACACTGACCGGCAAGTGAAGCATAACAGGCAGGCTGCGGGTGAAGAGACCTCAGAATACTATATCAGATAACCAGGTCTCTATCCGGGAAGAGATCAACCCAGATGATGAAACCAGTGAAAGATGTTCAAGGGAACCTGATTACCAAAGAGGAGAGCCAGATAAAACAATCGGTTGATCACTTTAAAGGACTTTCCATTCGACCATCACCTGAAACTCGTCCAGAAATACACCATCACCAACAGCACGCACAGAACTACCAGCCAGTGGACACCAATCTTCCAACGGAAGCGGAAATCCTGGATGGGATCAAGCTACTAAAGTTCAGAAAGGCAGCATGACCAGACGGAATTCCCCTCGAAGCACTGAAAATGGACCCAGGGACTGCAGCAGATGCTCTCACACCATTATTGCAAAAGGTTTGGAAAGAAGGAAAGGTTCCTCCCGATTTGAGGAAATGTTGGCTACCTTGTCAAGATACCAAAGAAGAGAGACTTAGACCTGTGCAAGAACTGACTGGTTTGGAATAATGCTGTTGTCCACGCTAAGTAAAATACTGTCACGTCATCCTAGAGAGAATAAAGGATGCACTGGATACAAAACCCCAACCCTCCGGAACAAGGTGTATTCGGGAAAGGTAAATCATGTGCTAATCAAATTGCAACTCTACGCATCGTCATCACAGATCAAAGCGTCGAATGGCAGTCAAACCTCTACCTAAAATTCATCGACTTCGAAAAAGCCTTCATCAAAGAGCTTTGGACGAGAAGTATTTTGGAAACTACTTCAACGCCATGGCCTGCAGTGTCCAAGTCTTTTGCAACCTTATCAACGGCCATATGACAGTGGCACGTGTCAGGTGACACGCAACGGAAGACTTAGCGAGGCATTAGAAGTGAGCACAGGAGTAAGACAGGGCTATCTATCATCACGGATGATATTCTTAACTGTGGCTGACTGGATCATGCATCAGACTGTGGGGAGTGAGGAGACAGAAGACTCTAGAAGATCTGGATTTCACGTGTGGATGATTTGTGTTTAATGCCACACAAACTCGAAGACTTACAGGTGAAAAACAACAAACTGGCTGAAGAAGCAGCTGGTGAAGACAGGAGTGACCCCAGGTGAATACAGAGAAGATGGAGGTGATGAAAGTAACCAATCAACAAACAGAAACAACAACCAGCACCAATCACCATCAACGAGAGAGATTTGAGGTTACTTCATTCGCTTATGTGGCTTCGTTTCAACTACAGGAGGATGGCACTGATAAAGAGGTCATAGCCAGCCAGTCAGAAACAGAAAGGCGACATACGCACCCACCAACCTGAATTCAGTTTGCAAATCTTCTGCCCATAGTCAGTATGAGCAACAAGATTCGGATTTTCAACACCATTGTCAAGTCGGTCTTTCTATACGGATCAGAAACTTGCACTGCCTGTTACGAAAAGCATTTTCAACAGGCTCCATATCGGAGATCGAGCGGCCAGAAAGAATTAGTAACAAGAAACTCTGATTGGGAACAAACCAACTAAACAAGAGCCAATCTCTCAACAAACAGGTAGAAGAAATGGAGATAGGTGGACTGCCGAAATATGTTGAGGAAGTCGTCGAATGAAATCGTGCAACAGACCCTCAAATGGAGTCTAAATGGCAAGCGACGAGTGGGTCGTTATTGCGAGGGTGATATGGCGGAGATCGTGTGAGGAAGAGATGACAGATTATGGGCAATCGTGGACCCAGCTGAAGAGGATGGCAGTAGATAGGACAAAGTGGAGATGTGCTGTTGAAGCCCGTGTTTTACTGGGAACCCAAAGAAATAATAATAATGCTGATGTTTAATCATAGACTTTGTGCTTAGCAACCCTGTAGTCATGGTTCATCATCTGTGAAGAAGTAAACTATCCTTGAATCACCAATCCGTATTCTGATATTTTCTAGTTGGTTACCGTACATAATATTCACAGGCAGCGATTATTTTTCTGCAACAGCTCTAGTTTCAGGATCTTTCCTGATGTCGACAACTGACAGACCCCTTCAAGCGTAAATCTAGAATTCAAGTTTTCGCCAGCCAAGACAAACTACAACATGCATGCATATATGTTCAAACCAAGCTCACATCTAATAGTTTGAAAAATTTCGGCATTGAGTATATGATAGTTATTGATATAAAAGTTTTTGTATTTCTCAATGAATAAAAAATATTTACACTTCGAATCACCACCACACTCTATCAGCTATGGCAAGTCTTCTTAGAAAAACACACTTTATGAAGAAAGTTACAAAGGGAAAAGAAGAAGAGATATGAAATATTGTGGTGAGAGCTGGCTGCTAGCCAAATTGGTAGACAGTAATTTACGTCAAGGTTTACGTCCCCAATATTGGTCGTGAGAAAAATAAGAACAAAGACTGATTCAACAATCAACCACAGCAGACTTTACGTAGGCGGATACAGTTAGCATATAGATGATCTGACATTCAAGAAACAGTCACAGGGAGATGCAAGGTCGACTTTCAGTGAGAAACAACCAATCAGAAGACTGTGTTTTTCTGCTAACAATAATCTATGATAATGTACATGAAAATGTATAAATATGTGTTGATTTCCTTAAATAAACGATCTGTTGCCTGGCCCGTGTCTTCTGTCGTTACAATATTACCAAAATTCTCCAGAAGAATAACTGTCCAAATAATTTTATTATCAAAATCAACATTAACATCAAACATGACCAAAAATTCACTCTTTTAAACCTGTGTAAACAATGTTTGAAAGAGTTCAAACACACTGTAGCACTCCTGCGTTAAAGAGAATGGAGGAAATATACCTACTAACCGTCCTCAAAAAGAATGTATGTCTTCACAATTTCATCAGAAAATGTTTAAACTTAAGAAGTCATAACACCAAGAAGAAACCATCATCAAAGACTACAAGAGAAGTCATTCTACCATACATATAAAAAATATCTCTGAGATAACAACAAGAATATTAGACCCGTTTTAAATATATACAGCACTCAAGAGAGCTAGTTCAATCACGTCATTCGATGTTGTGCAAACCGAAAGATCCAATAAGAAAGGAAGATAAAATTAATATCATTTACAAAACACTCCTTTACCTCGCTAAGCCAAAAATAATGCTGGTAATGAGGAAAGGCTGGGCATGAGGCTAACAACTCCATCCTGTAAAAGTTAAACACTGCTACAGAAACTTCAAGCCACTAGCTTGAAGCCCTATGTTCCACTGGGAACGCTAAGGAAAAAAACAAATTGTATGAACGGTGACAGACATTACATCAGTCAAAATGGGCGCCCCCTTTAAATCCGAATCCAAGAACACAAATTGGCTGTAAAAAGGCATGATATTTATTCTTTCATATCAGTGCATGCAGATAATTATGGACACCAGTTTGATTGGGAGAATGTAGATATTTCAAACAAACGAAACGCCAAACAAATGCCAGGGAATTTCTAGAAGCCTGGTACTCAGATGAATCATTGACTAACATACATATTACTATAGACCAGATTAACCAACTATTGGAAAATAAATCAGATGACAAGAAAGTGCGAATTCCAAGTGATTAAATACGATCAATAGAAATGTAAATTAACAACCAATCACAATAATGGTTGTCAGAAGACACAATTATACCATCATTCATGGAGGATTAAAATAAGTCCATTTCATGCTAAAACCTACCCTGAGGATGTTTTCTAGAAGAGGGATAACTAAAGCTTCTCAATTAAATCAACTAGCTCCTCAGAGAACACAAGTGTGCGTCGGTGGCGCAGCGATTAGGACGCTCACTGACCATTCACATGGTCCGGGGTTCGATTCCCGGCCGGAGCACGCCTGATATCAATGGTCGGCCTGCTAAATTTAGGCTACCGATATCACATGCTGAAAATTCCATAGCTGTACCGAAATACGGTGTGGAATCATGATATAATATTTTAAAAAATCAAAATTATCTACCTGAGCTACAAATCTTCTCCATTACAGCCACTGATCTTTTAGTTTCCGAAAATTCCTGCTCTAAATTCATTTCTTGGAGAGTTTCATTTATTAGTCTCTAATTCCATTTATTAGACTCTAATATATAATCACACATGACAAAGACCAGTCTAAGTGTTAGTTTGTGGTGGTGAGTATGGTGGTGAGTATCTCCGCCTGTCACGTGGAATGCCCAGGCTCGATTCCCGGTCGAGGAGCCATTGCGTCGGTGGCATAGTGGTTAGGACGCTCGCCGACCATGCACATGGTCAATGGTTCGATCCCAAGCCACCGATGCAATCCTTTACCTCGCTAAGCCAGAAATAATTCTGGCAAAGAGGAAAGGTTGGACATGATGCTAGCAACCCCATCCTGTAAAAATTAAACACTGCGACAGAAACTTCAAGCCACTCTCTTGAGGCCCTATGTTACACTGGGAACGTGAAGGAAAAAGATTGTTAGTTTGTAAGAGTTTCGTTGGTTTCCAGTCAGATCACGGATCAATATCAGTTAGAAAACTAAGTGAAAACCACGTATTACAGCTGAATAGCTGTTTCACCCTTTTTGGGGCGTTGCAGCTATAAATCTCGAGTTAACAGTGGTTGGCTGGTCATCAGGCCCACCTCATAACCTGCTGGGTTAGACCCCCAGTGAGGTTACAAGTGAGTACTACCGTGTAGTCCCAAACTAGAACGAAACAGCTGTCCAGTACTCCCTGGTTTTCAATGGTTCTCTAACTGATTCTAATCTGTGGTGAAACTTGAAACGCTAGTTTAATTAACCTAAATGAAGTCAGCTAGTACACCAATAGCTAACTGGCTACTTCATAACATGAACAACAGTGTAGCAATTCATACTTCAAAGAAATTTAGATCACGCCATGTATGGAGAAAAAAGCTACTGTACTGATCTAGGAAGTACAAAAAGACTGAAAATCATCTGCAGTGTGTCGAACTTAGTCATTCGAATCACTCAGTAACATTGCACTGAAAAGTTTATCCATCAATCAGTCTGTCTTTCTGTCTATCTACCTCCCTCTCTCTATAACTTTCATATTACTATCAGCAGGATGATGCAAAGTTTTCTGGTCGCCTATTCGGTGTACTTTATTCAAAAAATAAAATTATCAGAGTGATCAATCGTTTATCGATTACAAAAACTTTTTATAACACCTATCGAAAAATGAAAAAATTAATATATTTTTATAACTTGAACTTTAAATAGACAATTCATTGATATTATTGCGAAAATTATGATCACCTGAGAGAAAAGTACTTAAATGCTAATTCACCTTGATACAATGTTATTCACGCTTCTTGTATAAACTATGGCTTACTTCCCCCCTGTTATGTACTCGTCGAGTAGTTAGTAGTCCTGACGCAGAAAGAGGGAAATCAGAAAGCCACGAGGTTTACGATGATACTTGTATTTTCCAGACAAGGAAAATAAATGTCACACAAGTGTGTGAGTGGAAGGGTACTTAGATGTACGAAATGTGTGTGTACACAAGAATGTATATAAGTGTACAGTACAAAAGTATATATGAAAATGACTAATACACATGAACCAATAAACAGCGTCTTACCATGATTGGTTGTAATGTAATGTGATAACAAGGTCATACATTTTTATTTAGTTAGTAGACAGACAAAAGCATATGGTCAGTTATAATGGAATATCGATCGATATACACATAGCAAAATATAATAGACTGTCAAAAACAAAACACACATCATATGGATACATATCAACCCCCACCCTACTCCAAGTAAAATGTTTTATTCTACAGATACGAATTCATTAGGAATATCACAAAAGGTCCAAAGCAAAATACAAATAATGGTGAAACTAATAATGATAACATAAATAAGAAAGAATATAAGTCATCTACAGTTATACAATATGGGGAAGGGACATCTGAGGCGCTATGTAGGATTCTCAATAAAGCGTGAATCAGGGTGGCATTCAAATCCACCTAAAAACTCACTCAGAGACAAGCTCTACAGGCTAAAGGACCCTGTTGACCCAATTAGACAAAATAATATAATTTACAAAGCACTTTGCAATAACTTTGAGTGAGGTCAACTACATTGGTCAAACTAGTAGTGGATCAGGAGTATTGAGATTATCAGAACATAAGAATTTAGCGAAAGTTAGAAAGGTTGGCACAGTGGTTAGGATTCTCGCCGACCATGCACATGGTCCGAGGTTCGAACCCCCGCCAACGCACACCTGATATCTATCGTCGGCCTGCAAAATTTGGGCTACCGATATCCATGCTGAAAATTCCATACTTGTACCAAAAATACAGTGTGGAATCAAGCTGTAAATCGAAAATCAAAAAAAAGGTTGCCCCCACTCGCGGAGATAAGTAATTTAGAAAAAAGTCCAGCGATTGCACGGTATGCAATAACACACATCCACACAATAGGGTGAATGGGACAGAGTGAAAATTCTAAATAGTAATATAGGTAGGCGGAGAGATAGATTGATTACTGAATCCTTCCTGGTTCATCGAGTCTACACACCTAACACTAACATATGCAACAGAAGTGACTCAACTCAAATACTAGAGATATGGAAGATATTTTTACCACCAGTCAAATCAGAGGAGGATAATAAATAACGTTAAAATGTATTTCATCAATTCACATCATAACATTCTAGAAAGTTATTTATTTTTACCATAAAGACATCTTAATTTCCATCTGATTGTATTTTATTCATAACACTAATATGATTTCCAAATGTCCTTTATCTTATATTGATTTTATTCATATGTCTAATCAATTTTTACTCATGTATATAAATAAAGCAGAAAGTTGTGGGAGTGCCTTGATATGATTATGAGTGGCGTTGATAAATTGTGCTCGAAACTTGGCCGCATTAGTAAATATTACTGTATAACAGCACTGTGTGTGTGTGATTTTATCAAAATAAAATTTTATCCACAATGAAGTAGAGGGTAGCTATTTGGTCCCAGTTTGGGCCACTGAGCTGGGCTCCAGTGTCTGAATGGTCTACAAGTTCGCAATGCAACCGGAAGGTCCTGTATTCGAGCCTTGACAGTGGGTGGACACAGGCAATGAGTCACGAACTAGGACAAAACAGCTGTCTACATGTGCTTATGGTTTCGTCTGTCTGTCTGTTTTCGACATGGTTTTGTGATTTTCAATGACTGTCTCTAACTGATATCAGTCCGCGGTCAAACTTGAAACAAAACTTACATTTTCGACAGAATTGTTATTACTGATCTCCAGTCCTCTAGAAGCCAAGTCTTGTTTCTCAGTCAGTGATTCATTTCGCAAGGGATTTTTCATTTGAATTGGACATACTGGAACTGGTACCAGTGAAAATCTCAAAAACTTTGGATCCACTCGAAATAGCGATGTCTAAAAAGGTTGAACAAGGTACACAAAAATTTCACTTTATTTAATTATTGATTACATTAAAAGATATATGTATAAATATTATTAATTCTCTTAATTCAAACACTCTTAAGCCAACAGAAAAGAAGTCAAGTATTGGTATTCAAGTATTGGTTTGTAGGGATTTGGTCGATTAGTTACAGGATTTTATCATGAGCTGACATTGGTTAGAGAACTATTGGAAAACCCAGCCAGAAATAATGCTGGTAAAGAGGAAAGGTTGGGCATCAGGCTAGCGACCCCATTCTGTAAAAACAAATTTTTCTGTGTTTAGTATCATTCGGAAGAGAATCGTGTCCACTAATTTTTCTTGTCTAAGTCACAGAAAATACTATCTTATTTCCTCTGTCTTCCTTTCAGTCTTACAGGCAATATTTCATAGAAGCTGGAGCTTTTTTCTATTCGCCAGTATTTACCAGTTTCCTAACAACATCGTGCATGGTTGAGTAAGGGACAAACAAAATCCATTCATTGATATAAGAATAAAACTTGTGCACTGTGGTAGAGTATAATTCCATTATGGGTAAATTTTTGTTTTGATAAAATCTCACAGTGTTATACAGTAATGTTTACTGATAACGACATTTCGAGCACAATTTATTACTGCAGCTCATAATCATATCAAGGTACCCACACGAATTCCTAACTTCATTTATATAGTTCCATTATTTTTCACTTGATTTTCGCTTGATTTGATTGGTAGTAGTATTTTCCATATTTTGGGTTTGGGTGATGAATCATTCCTATTGCATGTGTTGGGTGTAGACTCGATGAACAAGGATTCAGTAATCAACCTCTCTCTCCACCTACCTAGATTACTTTTTAGAATTTTAACCCTATCCCATGCACCCGTTTGTGTGGTTATGTGCTAATGCATGGAGTGTAACTGCCGAGCTTTTTTCTGAATTACTTACCTTCGTGGGATCAATCATTCTTACCTTAGCTAAATTCTTATGTTCCGACAATCTGACTACCCCTGACCTACTAGTTTGACCTATGTAGTTGAACTCACTCACAGTCATTGCAAGGTATTTTGTAAATTGTATTATTTTGTCTAATTGGGTCAACAGGGTCCTTTAACCTACAGAGCTTGTCCCTGAGTGAGTGAGTGAGTGAGTGAGTGAGTGAGTGAGTGAGTGAGTGAGTGAGTGAGTGAGTGAGTGAGTGAGTGAGTGAGTGAGTGAGTGAGTGAGTGAGTTAGTAGGTTTGAATGCCACCCTAATTCCTTATTTATTTAGAATCCTACATAGGGTCTCAGATGTCCCTTTTTTATATGATATAACAGTAGATGCCTTATATTCTCTCTTATTTATGTTATTATTACTAGTTTCACAATTATTTTGAATTTTATTTTGGCCTTTTTTGATGTTCCTAATGAATTTTAAAGGATAGTTAATTAACACCAACGCCTCTTCTTCTATCTGTTTTATTTCATCATTTAGGTCTTTTCTTGTGCTACTTACTGCTATTGTTCGGTTTGTTAGACACTTAACTAAGCATACCTTAACAGCTGAAATGAATTAGAGTCTAAATATCTAATAGAATGCGATGGTTTTTCATAAACGTTAGTGTGCAGTTTACCTTCTGTTCGTTTCATTTTACAACCTAACATCACGGCTAATTCTCCTTGTTCATTTTTCGATTCAAACGTGAATTTTATTCCCTTCACTAGTGAGTTTATGTGTGTCAAGAAGCTACAGATATGTTCTGCTTTTAAGACTGTGAGTGAAAGTGTCATCCACATATCTCCATCATATTTTTCGAGTAGGATTAAATGTATTAAGAGCAATATTTTCCCAGCTGTCCATAAATATATCTCCTACGATAGAGGATACTGGTGATCGCACTGCTACACCTTCTGTTTGTCTATATATTTTACCTTGGAATTTAAAGATAATAGATGTGAGGCATAACTGAATTCCTAAAATAAATTAAAGTGAAAAATCCATCCATAGCTATATTCTGTTTCATCTCGTGAATACATAGAACACAAAATTGATGTTAACATGTCTTTCAAAGTCATCTACTGGAACAAACTAACTAATCTTGATTAACTTTACCTCAAGAGTTCGTCTATTACATATTGCTGAGGCTTTCGGAAGGCACATTATACAGTCTAACTTATGTTTTCAAAAGAATTTGGTTCAGACACTATCTTTACTTTAGCAATCAAAGTTTGAATGATCCTCAGTTTGTTGTGAAAATTTCCTTAATTTTATTTGTTATTCTTTTAGCTATTACACTTTTATGCTTAATTGTAAATTAAGAGTATTTCTTGAACCGTAATTTCATTGAACTTAACACAAAGGTAGTAAATAAAAAACAAATTCAGCAAAGAAAATTTTCTTTATCGACGAAATCATCTTAAGAGGCTGTACAGTCGTATTTATGCCCACCAAAAAATATATGGTGGTCTATTATCGAGTTATAGGAGGTGACATAATTGATGTAATCACTCGGAAGCGGCTTTAGAAATGGAAATTAAAAGTTATAAATTACGTGGTACTCAACCGCAGTAAGGAAGAAAGAGTTAGAAATTTGCTAAGATTAGAATTGCTATTGAGTGAGAATAAAGTTGGTATTTGAGTGTCAATTTAACAAGTGTGAAGAGAGTGTGAAATGTACAGCAGGGAGCATATGAGAGTGATAATAGTGAATTAGTTGTTAAAGCGAAAACAAATTGAAAAAAATCAAAATTTTTTTACAGGGAACGACTAGTGAAGAGGTTAAGACCAAGGTAGAATAAGAGACTGGACAAATATTTCCTGTATATAGAGTTCCGGGTTGCATTGACGAATCGCCAGCGCCTCTGCCATACATAAAAGCCGAAACCTGACTCCATTTATACCTCTGCAAGCATAGTATTTCTGATTCGTTTAAATTTGTCCATTCAATAAGTGATGCTAATGTATCCGGGAAGAAAGTGATATCCATGGATGTTACTTCGCTTTTCACCAACGTTCCCCTCACTGAAACTATCTGCTTTATATGCAAATTCATTGAAGATAATAATGTAGACGTGTGTGTTCTGATCCACTATTTAAAGGAACTACTATTGAAGTGCACTTTAAATGTTCAGTTCAAGTTCAACAACACGCTTTATAGACAAAGAGATGGAGTGGCAATGGGGTCACCATTGGGTCCTTTACATGCAGAATGCTTCCTGGCAAGTTTAGAGAATAGTATTTTACGGCCAACTTTCGAAAACGTTTGTCTAGTCTCTTATTCTACCTTGGTCTTAACCTCTTCACTAATCGTTCCCTGTAAAAAAAATTTGATTTTTTTCTTTTGTTCTTAATTTTTAAATTTATTTTTAGCTTGCTTTTGCTTTAATAATTAACTCACTATTATCACTCTCATATGCTCCCTGCTGTACATTTCACACTCTCTTCACACTTGTTAAATTGACACTCAAATACCAACTTTATTCTCACTCAATAGCAATTCTAATCTTAGCAAATTTCTAACTCTTTCTTCCTTACTGCGGTTGAGTACCACGTAATTTATAACTTTTAATTTCCATTTCTAAAGCCGCTTCCGAGTGATTACATCAATTATGTCACCTCCTATAACTCGATAATAGACCACCATATATTTTTTGGTGGGCATAAATACGACTGTACAGCCTCTTAAGATGATTTCGTCGATAAAGAAAATTTTCTTTGCTGAATCCGTCCTTTATTTTCTTCATGACTCAATGGGTAATATCGGTGGTATTTATAGGCACCAATGATGTTATTGACCATTATTCTAGAATACCCAGTGTTTATAATTACATGCATGTAATTTTAGAGCCAGAAGAGGAAATTATCGAACAGGGCATTCTTTGCCCTAAATTTCTAAATTATATAAATATATATTTCTAGTTGCTGCAACTTGCGTAGCTGTAGCGTAGGAGTGGGTCAGTACTTTTCAGGCCATTTTTAAAAGTACATTCAATTATCCCGCCTACAAAATCGCTCTATAGACAAAAGCGGCAGGCCATATATTTTACCTCTAACGATATGCGTTAAGTGAAACTGCACTACAGAAATTATTTGTTATTATTATTATTACACGACCGATGGTGCTACCTCGACTGAAAGATGAAGTACCTAGACTAGCTGGCCACTTCAAATTGTATCTACCAGTTCAACTGCGCTTGTATTAGAGCAAGTTATATTGGCCGTTGCTCTAGGAACTTGATTTTGCGTGCTTGCTCGGGAACACCTCCCACCATGGCTAAGTAAAGGTGTAGTGAAAACCATTAACAGTTCGATATTGGACCATCTGGTGCAAACCGGCTGGCCACAAAAAGCCAGCCAGCGTGGAAAAATCCTTCTCTATATTATACCGGGTGCCTAATAAGTTGCCAAAATCATCGAAGCACCGCATGCTCCAAACAGCAGAGGCTATTGCAACTCGTCTCAAACAACCAGTGCTCTGTGTTCAAAAGAAGCAAGTCCAGCCAGCCCCTACTACTGCCTTGGCCAGCCTTCAGTAGAGACTGTAAATTCATGAATTTGTAAAATAATAATAATAATACTTCGCTTTTATTCCGGAAACAGTACTAGTGAGTGGTACAGTGTGGAATTTTCAGCACATATCTACAATATTGCATCTAATTTCATCGGACATTTAAAAGGAGTATTACAAAAAAATATATAAAAAAACCAAAAAGAAACACAAAAATAACAAAAAATGCAAATAAAAATACCAAATAGAAAGAAAGATAAACACCAATAATGAAAAATATTTCAGTATTGGGTAGTGGAAGCTATGATATGTGTATGCGTGGTGAACAGTAACAGCTATAATCATACAAGAAGTTATGAAATGATATTTAAGAATGTTTATAGCCAAGATGATCAGTTAATTTGATTGAAGTACACTAAGCAATCATAAAATAAACATTTCAGGTTGTGTTTTTTTTATTGTCAGCACTAATCCGGTGTTTGTCGTGGTAGTGTGAGTAATCATGCATAATACAAAAATTTTAGGATGGCGATAACGGCGTTCACAACCAAGATTGTCAGTTTTAATATTGCCGAATAAAAAATACAATCACAAAACTTATATTACATGATGGTTAATAACAGGACAATTCTGTAATACTCATAGTGATAATATAGTCGGACCCAGTAGATACACGAAAGAAGGAATAGAAAAAAGTATAAAAAAGTAGGTCAATGATAATAATTTTATGTAGCTAAGTATGTTTAAAAAGGTTGTTCACTATGAAGTACAAATAAGAGAGTATAAGGGGAAATAACAAGGGCCAAAATTATGTTATTAACAACAAAGCAAGTCACGCTTAACATTGTCTCTGTCACTTAGAACACGGGCCAAATATGGTATCGTTGAGTTCCTATACTTGGTTGTGCGAGCATACATTATTTTATACTGATCTCTGGTTCTACCTGATCAGATAGAAGGAGAGAGTTGGGAATAGAGGGGGTGTTGGTGGTCGGAGAGTATGGTTTTAGACCATTTTCCGCATGTATTCAGATGCCTTTCTACTAATGTGGTGACTAGCTGACTGAGTCTTACACCACTAGTCCTACTAACTACCTTCAACATCCTTCTCAGGATGGTATAGTCTTTTTTCAGTAACCCAGGAAAGACTAATGGGGAGCAGTAAAGTAGAATAGGTAAGATACGAGAGTTGACAAATTGTGAAAGCAGAGGTTGAGTGACTCCAGTTAGTCTGAGTTTGCTAATGTAGTAGGTTAGACGAAACACTTTCTTGGAAATAATTTGGATATGAGATGACCAAGTAAGGTTGGAAGATAGAACTAATCCGAGGTATTTTGCATTAGACTTAGTTTCAATTTTAGTTCCCTCAATGCTACAGTCTTCATGAGTGCTCTCGTTTGTGCCTAAAGGAGAAGTCAATAGTCTCGTATTTTGAGGGATTCAGCATGAGGCCATTTAGTTTAGACCACTGACTGATGTCCGACAGGAAGCTATTTAATTTGAAACAGTCTGACTGAGACTTAACGGGAAGCGAAACAGTCAGGTCATCTGCATATTTGACGAAGTTGATTTTGTCTGGAAGAGGTAAGTCATGTGAGAAGAAGGAAAAATAAACGGAAAGAGAACAGCACCCTGAGGAACACCAGCTTCAGTAAGCAAAGGAGAGGAAGCTACACCATTATATACCGTGTACTGCATCCTATTAGAGAAGTAAGAGTGCAGCCAGTTGATGGCCCAGGACTCAGTTTGTGTAAGGCCTCTAGGTATAGAGTCGAAAGCAAATGTGTAATCAAGGAACGTACAACGGACATACTTGGCCCCTTTGTCTAAGGAGGATACAATGTTGCGATGAAACACAGCAGCGTCCAAAGTACTTCTACCCTGTTTGTAAGCAAACTGCTTTGGATCATTTGAGAAGCTTAGGGAGGGAACAAGTTTTTGTAACAGTAATTTCTCCATTAGTTTCAAAAAAGGAGAGGTAATAGCCATTGGTCTAAACTTAAAACTATTTCCAGAACCAGACTTGGGTACAGTGATGATTTTGATATCTTTCCACAGAGAAGGTACAACATTATTAGAAAAAGAAGTATTGAAAATGTTTGTAAGTGGGTTACTTAAAATATCAGCACATTTCCTTAGAACAATAGAGGTATACCATCAGGGCCTAGACTCTGGGAAGGTTTAAGAGATTTTAAACATTTAAGAACACCAGAAGTATTGAAGCTATGAAAGTCACTGGTCGTGTTATTAGTCAAATTGAAGGCAAAAGGGACATTTGGAGGGCGGATAAAAGATCTGTTGAGAGTATTTACATCAATAGAAGAGGCAAAATTACTATGCTTACCACAACCTGTAATTTCTCTAAAAGGCTTTCATATGTTTTCTGAAGTTTTACAAGACAGTATTGTTTGATTATAAATGTTGTTTAGTATCTTGATTTCAGATTTAATTATCTTTCCTAATTTTTCTGATATTCAGTGCATTGCTTTGTTGATGCTATTGAGCTGTAATCTATCAATATTGTTGATTTGATGTTATTTAAACAACATTAATGTTGTTCATAACACTAATTCTTTCATTCACTGTAATGTATATATAACTATAGAGTCTGATGATGAAGTTATCGAAAAGAGAACTATTTGTTCAGTATATATTCTTTTGAAAAATTATTTGTTTTCCCATTTTTAGACAAAACTAACCTTCAGAATAAAAAAATGGAAACTTTAGGCCATGGAAACCGATGGTCGGCCTGCAAAATTCGGGCTACCGATATCACATGCTGAAAATTCCATACTTGTATCGAAAATACAGTGTGGAATCAAGCTGTAAATCAAAAAAAATCAATTAGCTTTGTTGATCAGTGTAGGCACCCAGTCGTTTTGGCTGGAGATTTGCCCCTGTTTCAAATTCTGTGTCTAAAATCACTACTACCTGCCATGTGAACTCAATAAAAGCGATTAACTGGATGAAGGTATTTGTAACCAAGAACCACTGGTATTCTTGTATCTTTACATTTAAACAGCTATGTTTGGCTGCTTTAAAGCCAAATAGGACCACCACTGTGCATTGCACCCATCCTGTGAATGGCCAAAGATTACGCAAATCACCAAATGACAAGCGAACATTTTTCACATGTATATTGGTTTAATCAAAAACTAGTTTACTAAGACTGATTGCAATTACCACACAAATTAAATAACTATTAATTATATTAGAATAACTATACCAGTCATAATCTTTGCACCAGTGACCTGACACCATTTAAATCAGCATATTCAAAACAGCACTAAACACAGTCCTGAAATATAAGTATATATTCTCCATAATCCAACAATCTAAAGTATGAGTGAAGTAAAATATACCAGCTATGATTTCTTGTAAACAACGGGCAGAATCTTGCCATTGGGTGTTTTCTTCATTAGCTATCTCGACTAATCACATTGAAAGTGATGAACCAGTCGGGAATAAATTCCAGGAGTATGTTACTTAATAGTTTTTGGAAGTAAAGCTTAAAAGTTCAAATCACACCATAATAATAATCACTATAAAATATGAAGCACAAGACTATTCATTTTTTGTTTACAGTCAGCAACTTATATTGATAATCACTGACAAGAAGCAAATAAACTGCGCCGGTGGCACAGTGGTTAGGACTCTCACCGACCACACACATAGTCCGGGGTTCGATCCCCTGCCGAAGTACACCTGATATCTATGGTCGGCCTCCGAAATTTGGGCCACCGATATCATATGCTGTAAATTCCATACCTGTACCAAAAACTACGGTGTGGAATCAAGCTGTAATCAAAAATAAATAAATATAAAAAACAAATAATTGCAAGGTACGCCCAAAATCGTTTTCCGTGTGACATATGTATTCATTCCAGGTCAGACAGGTGGTTAAATAAATTCCAGAATCCAAATGAGCCTCAGCCACCATATATCCAACACCCATTTTGTCTATCTTTACTGATGGAGCCGAAATAAAAGGTATCGCAAACAATGAGTTGCTTGAAACAGCCACCACCTTGTGGCCGAACTGTGTTAATTTGGTGTACTCTCATAAATTCCCACTACTCTTTTACTTGAACACACCTCTGAACAAAAGTAAGCATTATATTTACCTTAATTACTCTGAAACAGTTAGCAGCAGCCAAGCCACCAGATTACGATGGATCAGCCCTAGGAGTGCTATGGCCAAGAAGTAACTCTACTCTTCCAGACTCTGAAAATCATCATTAGTATTTCTTTGATTACTCTCGCAGATTATCATTTACTGTATGCTCAGTGCAAGTTTTTCCTCCACTTTCATATAAGTCCCTATAAAAGAGGGGAATTGGACTAACTCCTTTTGGAGTCAACCAAAGCTACGACAGTCAAGTGGCGGGACGAGCTACGCAGAATTTTACCGAAGATCAGGAATTTATACCTTACAATCAAGAGGTGAGCACAAAGAAATCAAACTGGTTTATACTAGCTCGTAAAAACTATATTGGATATTGGAACTCGCACTTTCCGTATAGTCCTAAGTTGATAATTCAATTCAGTATAGTTTAGAAATGATCTGAGGATTTTCTGCTCAATCTAATGCTCTACTTGGAATGTCGTTTTGCAAGTATATCTTTCTATCAGCTTGTGAATACAGCATGATTACAGAATGTTTTCCTATGCCTAATAAGTCTGTCACTACTGCTTACAAGTTAGATGCTATAGTGATCTGTATTGTATTGATGCATAAGTCATTTAAAATAGCCCCCGGGTCTCATAGCAACAGTCTCCTTTACAGAAAAATCAATAAAGCAAGCCTCTTTCAAAATAATAATAACATGCAGAGGATGTCAACTCTATCGTGTTTCCAATGCTTATTTGTGAACTTTATACTTTGTGATATAAAAACTCACCGTGCTTTTCAGTTCATTTGAAGACATTTCATTTCTTTTGGAAAGCTTTTTGTCGGGTTTTTTGACGAATGCTTGTATCTTTGAACTTATATTCCATGGTATATGTAATTTGGAGTGAACTTCATTCAGAATTGTACTTTCCCCGAAGAACTTCTTCCGTAATTCCGAATAGACAGCATGGGATACGCTATCGGGACTTCCAAACAGCATGTGTAAAACAAACAGTTTGCGATACATAGGTGAAATATACGACAGAGCTTCTGCAACATATTTCTCAACATCATTCATGGTTTCAGGAGAAAGCAGCTTTTGTGTATCGAGAGTTAAGTATTGACTGGTGCAACCATATAGCCTCATACTGGAGTAGAAAATATCTTTTGACCTGTTTAGATCTATAGTTTTACATATATCATCTCCCAATATGTTTAAATGTGGTTTATCGATTAAACTGATTAAGAACCTTATAACCTCGTTTGTGCACCATGAGTTCAGGATACAATCGCCTATCCTGATGATATCTGAGAACAAACAGGTGTTGCAGTTGCAACAGCTGCAGTCATAAGAGGAACTAAGGCATGACATTGGTGCAAAAGCCCAATGTACTGCGCGATAGCTGAAAACAATTATCAAAGTGTTTCCTATTTCAAATGTTCAATAGTAACCTTGAAAAGCATCCATTATGAGATTCATTACAGTAGTGCTTCTGAAACTTGACTGCCCCCATTTTTAGTTTTCGACTTCAGATTTCTGTGTGTTCCTAACCGAAAATTATAATCCTCACTGATTTATTATTTTTTACAAAAAAGTGAATCATCGCTTGCCCGACTATCGGTTAACCTCGCCGAGATAACTAGCTTGCTACTTTTCTGTGCGGTCCCAAGCCCGGGCAAAGAGGGAGCGTTGGACGTGAAGCTGGCGACCCTACACCACAAAAGCTACACACTACTAGAGAAACTTCGACGCACAATAAAAACATTAAATATACAAAAAGTATCAAAAACAAACTTATCCTTCGCTTGAATTGGGGAGGCGAAATGACACAGCGGGCTGGTGAAAGCCGGCCTTCTGGAAGCCAGTCAGCCTATGTGTCTCCTCTCGATGAAAGCAAGAATAAGAATAGAGGCGTGGAATGTCCGTACAATGTACGAGCCTGAGAAGGTTGCCCAGGTAGCCAAATAAATGCGAAGATATTACATAGAAGTGCCGCGTATCCGTGAAAGCAGATGGAATGGACAACATTGTCAACTGGAGAGTCAATAACTTACTCCGGTCGCGCAGACGACAACTCCGAGCACAATGAGGTAGTATTTTTTATTTATATTTTCCTTCACGTTCCCAGAGGAACATAGGGCTACAAGCTAGTGGCTTGTAGTTTCTGTAGCAGTATGTATTTTACAGGATGGGGTTGCTAGCCTCATGCCCAACCTTTACTCTTTACCAGCATTATTTCCGGCTTACCGAGGTAAAGGAGAAAAAACCTGGGAGTACTGGACAGCTGTTTCGTCCTAGTTTGGGACTCTTCATCAGTACGCACCCATCGGGATTCGAACCCAGGACCTTCCGGTTACAAGGCTAGCGAGCTCGTATACCATTAAGCCACTGGGCGGTAGTGAGTGGCTATAATTATGTCACCATCGGAAACAAAAGCCCTAGTGCAGTGGGATCCAATCACCTCCTGCAGGATAATGATAGGAACATCCAACTCAAAAGGGAGGAAGTTCACAATTATCCAATGCTTCGCAGAGTGCTACAAATGGCGCAGAACAAGAAAAGAAGGAGGATTTTTGCAGATAATTACAAACAGTAGCGGACAACATCCCAAGTGGTGAAATCAAAATCTTGATGGGCGATATGAATGCAAGTTGAACTGGAGGCAGATAATACAGAAAGAGAACTCATCATCGGTCGAGAGGCTCTGACTCAGAGAAATGAATGAGAACGAACAATTTTTCGCAGACTCCTGCGCTTTTATTGATTTGGTGACCGCAGGCAGGGTGCGCAAGCACAAAGACATACGCAAGGCAACATGGATTTCACCTGATGAACGCACCAAAAACCAGATAGACTTTTTCTTACTGCTGCCATGGGAACTAAAGATGCAGCCAATCTGCTGGACACGGAGTGGGGACGGAGAGCAGGTGTGGGCTGATACCATCACCCTACTTGAGAAACCCTCAAGGTGAAGCTGAAAGTCTTCAAAACAACTGTAGACAAGCCACCGTAATAGAAGTTCAACATCCAGAAACTGAAGAACTAAACTAGATATATCAGAGCAAAGTCAGAGACACCACGTAGCATCACCAAGGCAACCTGTGTGGATGACACTGGAACTCTCCGAAGGTAATGTTTGAGAAAGGTGTACGACTGATTTGGGAAGACAGAAGAGACAAGACGAGGAATGACTCTCAACGGACAACTACCTGGAGGTTATTAGAAGAGAGGAGGATGGTGGAAGAGAAGATGACTCAATGCAGATATGGGCAATTCTACGACATACTGGCAAATGGAGCAGAACAGGTTGGCCTTAGGTAGAAGAGACTTCAAAACGTCATACCGGATAACTAGGTCTCTACCTGGAAAGAGATCAACCCAGATGATGAAAACCATAAAAGATATTCAAGGGAACCTGATTACCAAGGAGAAGAAGCAAATAAAACGATTGGCTGGTCACTTTAAAGGACTTCTGAATTGTCCATTACATGCAACTCATCCATAAATGCCACCACCGTTGACAGCAGGCACAGAACTGCCTGTCAGTGGACACCAATCCTTTAACAAAGGCGTAAATCTTGAATGCTGGAGCTACTGAAGTCCAGCTAAGAAGGCATCAGGACCGGACGGAATTCCCCCGAGGCACTGTAAATAAACCCAAAGACTGTGGCAGATGTGCTCACGCCATTATTGCAACAGGTTTGTAAAGATAGAAGAGTGACAACCGATTGGAAGAAAGGCTGGTTGCCCTGAGAAGCTGCCAAGTATAGTGGCTTAAGCCTCTGCAAGAACTGGCATAGAATAACTCTCTTGTCCACGCCAAGTAAAGTACTAAGTCGCATTATCCTGGAGAGAATAAAGGATGCACTGGATACAGAACTCCGCTCCACCGAAACAAGCTAGATTCAAGGGAGGCAAATCATGTGCTGTTCAAAATGTATCTCTACCTATCGTAATCACAGAACAAAGCATAGAACGGCAGTCAAACCTCCATCCCAATATCATCTTCGGAAAGGCCTTCGACAGATGTCAAGGAACTTATCCCTGAGTTCCTATTGTTACGAAGACGCTCCGCACCGATAAACACTATGTACTTCCTTCGACTTTAACTCCGAAACGCCAGTATTGTAAGAAGGAAGTTATATTGTTTGGCACTTAAAGCGGAGAACAGTAAAAGTCTATAAACAAATGTTTTATACAAAACTATGAAGTACTTTTATTCGTTTTTGTTCGTCTTCGTCGAACTTGTACACGATCAAACCATTCGCGCCTTCGAGTTGCCCACCAATGGCTACCAGTTCCAAAAACAAACGTTCATTGTTCATGTCCATTGACAACAGCGTTAACCACGAAGTAATTTGGAAACTGCTTCAATACTCCAGAGTTCAATGCTCAAGTCTTTATCAACCTCATTCAGCAGCTGGTTATATGACAATGCCACGCATCAGGTGATCCACAGCGGAAGTTTTCACGAAGCCTTTGAGGTGTATACAGGAGTAGAACAGGGCAGCCTCCCTTTTATCACTGATAATATTCCCAATCGTGGTGAACTGGATTATGCGGAAGACTGATCTCAGAGAGTGAGAAGACAGGAATATGTCCGAACCATAAGAAGGCTCTAGACGATTTGAAATTCGCGTGTGGCTGATTCATATTTAATGTATATATTTTATGTAATAATGTGACTTCCAGGTACATATGATTTGTGACTTTTGACCGTCTGAGCTCATGTAATAGAATCAGCGTTCCAGAGTATTACTTTAGGATTTTTAGTAAAACAGCCATTATCGCCCTACAATGTATGTCTGTGAGTTCGTTCCATATTGCGCTTGTTCATTCCATATTTGCGCCGTAATTTCGCATAAACTACTTTTACGATGTCGAGCCAGAAGACCAAACTTACGGTTGACTCACTGGCACCCCTGTTCAAGTCATTGTTTTGGGTAGACGTTACTGTGACATAGTTTCTGTATTCAGAAGCTGACTTTCAGGGACATAGGGTAGCTGACTCATATTCAAAGTACCTAGCAGTAATACGTGCTCTCCTACGGGAATCGAATAGGTGCGTTGATACATGAATGTTCACCCCAGAATTAAATAGTCTTAGCCAGACGCTGAAGGTAGCACTCCTAGAGAGAAACTATCACTCAGACAACCAGTGTCTTTACGAACCCTTCTGCAATGCTAGTTAGGTAAACATCCGCTTGTACAGATGCCTCCGTGAATGAGTGAAGTCACGCGCTAACGAAGACTAGATGTGGAACTCTTAAGGGAGTCCCCCCTGATTCGCCACGTCCAGCAAATAACAGACTCAACAAATGATTTAGCTACACTGGCTGGCAGAATCCTAGAAATTCTCGATCAGCAAACTGTCTATGAGGATTGAATATAAAGCAAGAGATTTACACGACTCTTTCAAATCATCTCAACATGCTTTTGTCGAAAGATGAACTATCTGCAAATAAAATCTCACCCTGATGTTGCCATCCTATTGCTTACAGCCAGGAAGATAAATGCTGCTGAAAGACCTGCCGTTTAATTAAGGATAAAAAAATTTAAGGGAACTTCCCCACGACACATTTCAGTGACAACCGTAGCCTATAGCTGTGGTCACCTACTCTATGTTCGGTATGTAGTCCCTCAACAGGAAGAGACCACCTAGAAGGAACTTACTTTAGAGCTGCAGGCTGCAAACTGGAAACGCATTACAAAATTTAGGAGAAGATATATCTACCTGAGCACAGTCCTATTCAGACCTATTCAGGGAATATTCCTTCTTGCTGATGTGGTTATGTCCATCATTGGCGGAAATTTACTCGACCATGACGACCTACTTATAGGTGCCCTCCAAAGGTGGCTGATAGCTGGTACCATTTAACTGTTTATTAAGAGGATTATCTGAGCAGGCCAAAGTTTGTCACTCGTTAAGAAAATCATGGCCGATGCAACCTTCACTTCGACAAAAACGACGGCGAAGACTGCCGTAATATCAGTCTCCTAAAAACGGCATACCCACAGGGAACCCTAGCAGCTTAGAGCCAGGCCTTCTGAATGGCACCCAGCCCACAGAACACCCACCAATGATTGTGGAGGTATCTGTCACCGTTAAGCTACCAGAGTCCTCTGACAATACACGGTAAAACGGGTTCTGAATGAACCGTGAGGTTCCCAGACCACCTTGAAGCTTATCTCACAGGGTGAAACTTGTGGTGGACCTTTCACTCGGTTAGCTCAGTTACCCAAATTCAAACAGAAAATAAAGTACCAAATCAGTTTAGTTACGGGAAGAATGTATTAAAGTTTGGTTACTTGGGTTTACAAAGATCCAAAGTCCACAATAAACGTAATAGACTCCAGGTGCTGCGGGAAGACTGCTCCAGTACTAATTCTCCAATGTTGACGTTGCCGGAGGTCGACCAAAGTACGTAGGAAGAACTACGGTGCTCCTGCAAAAATTTGAGATAGAAA